AGCCTATTAACTTCCTGGTCTTCAGAAAGGCTTTGAACACTATATATCTATACTTCATCTGTGCTCTCTTTTCTTCTCTTTATCATTATACTTGCATGCATTGTCCCCAACTTTCTAATTCGAATCATAACTGCTCTTGGAATTCAATGAATCATCATTTTGAGAGGTAGCTTCTTCATTTTGTTAATTAAGTTAAAAAAACTAATTAAAGTTTGGAGACTGCATTTAGGCAGGTGTAAATATGAAAAACAAAAATTATTCCTCTAAAATTATTGACTTTTAGTTCTTAAAAATTGATTGTATTTTTACTCTTATAAGAGTAAAATATATCAAATTTATTTACATTAATAAGTCTCTTAAATTAAAAGAGGTATTTATAATCTCAAAATTTAATTAGTTATAATATTGATAACTTTCAATTAAGAAGTGTTAAATATATATAACAAATTTCACCTGGTAAAGAATATAAAATATTATAAATGTCGACTTTAATACTATATGTAAATGTCGTCTCTTTAATACTATATATAAATTAGTTTATGTAAGTTAAAAACACTTACGTACAACCCTACACGTATGAGGAAAAGAACAAGTTCTCCACTATAAACAAATGAGTCAATTGCTAACAACAATTTTTTCCGCAACTTAATTACGAGTTGTCTCGTCATTAACTTTTTTGTGTGATTAGTTTAATATATAAATCATGCTTAAGGTATCTATGCTCGGTTTCAATTAGAAAAATAATGACATGATAGAAAAATTAATAAAGTTTTATAAAAAAATGTTAAATAAATTTAAAAAAAAATGTGAAAATAGCATAAAGAGCATTAATTTTTTTTAATAAAGTCTTCTTAACGTCTAATAATGATTCAACAATAAGATGACAAAATCTCTTGGTTTTCCCCCACCACTAACGGAATAATTTTTCAACTTGGCAATAATGTTATAATCGTCCAAATTTCTTTTTATAATGTTTTTTTTATGTTAATCATTTGTATATTTTTTTTTTTGTTGTATATTAACGGTGGCAAAAACCAAACTTAACACCTCATGCAGTCATTTACCCTAAATACACACCACTATGCTGACCTTAATGAAATTATTTTAACTTAATCTAATGATTTATGAGTTATAGTTCCTTAGATCCCAAAATTATGTTGTTTAATAGACTACTCCCGTTCTTATAAAATTATATCTCATTCAAAATATAAGCTTGCTCTTGCTTTAACAAAAACTCAATAATTTTTTCTATATATATTATTTAATCATTACACATAATCTAATTTGTTTTATCCAATTAAAATTAAGACTTTTTTTTAGTTAAATATATAATCTCTCATTTTAAAATTTATTTCTTAAAATTAATGAAAAAAATATTTTTATATGAAAGAACTTACACCAAAAAATTTCTATAATGTTATTTTAAAATGTTCATTTCCAAACATGAATCCATTTTTGCCGTGATATTTTAATTTATTTTTTATATCAATGTTGACAAAATTAATTTCGTAGGAAAGTGATCAAATTACTTTGTAAAAAAGTCAAGAAAAGAATAGTTTTTTTTTTCTCAATTTCCGCCCTTGTATTTTTTTTAACAAGATTTAATGTGTTTCTTTATGTTAAATCAATATTAATATCATTTAGAAATTATTAACTTATATCTCTTAAATTACTAACTTTTTTCTAATGCATTTATTGTCCATTTGGAGAAAAAAAAAACAAGAAGAACCATGATAATGTTAACATAATAGAAAACATTATATTGAATCTATTTAAATAAAGTAAAAACATTAATATAAGATAAAAATGTTATTAAGTTTAATTATTATTATTTTATCTAAATATAGCTTCATTGAATACTTTTAAGATAGTATTCATGTATTTATGGGCATTTATGAATTGAGCATGTTCGGAGAGAAAACTTTTAAACATTTTGATTAAAAGTTGATCATTTTTAGTGTGTTATGATTTTTTAGATTAATGAGTAGATGATATTGATATTTACATTTTTGTAAAAATATACAATTAAAAGTTTCTTATTTGTGAAGGAAATTATTTAGTTATATTAATTTTGATTAATAGAGATCAAATTGAGTGGTTTAATATTCTATTTCTATGTATTTTTTTATATTTTTTTTATAATAGATATTGTTTTCTTATATTTTGTAAAGTGTAATTTTTATGATGAGTTTGATTTGGTCCATATGTTTTTTATTCTTTTTTTTTCTTTTTAATAAATTTTTATGCAATGAAAAATAATTAATAAACTTTGAGGTGTTGGTATAATTAAAATGTCAAAGTCGGTATACTTTATTTGAAATATTTTCAAAAAATATTTATGAAAATAAAAAGATTCCTTAATATTTGTAGGGAAAATAATTCTAAGGTTTTTGAAAAATAATTAGCATATTACCATGATACTTTTTTTTCTCCTCCTTTTTGAAATCCCGTGATGCTTATTGTTAAAAATCTCCCCTTGATATTTATTTTTATAAACTAAACTTTATTGATTCAGCCATTAAATTAATCTTTTATTCGGTAAAATTTCCATAAATTCCAAATTTGTTTGATTCTTTTTTAAAATATGTTACTTGCAATATTTAAAAAAATATATAACAACTATAAAATTACAGACTAGAAATAAGTTTATCTAAAATTCGGTATGAGTTTTCATTGAGTTAATATAAAATATTTAATTAGTTTCCAAAATCTCAAATTTGACCACTTTAATTCATGAAATTTAAAAATTTTCGGTTTCTTTATGTAAATATAATTAGAAATTTCTTCTAAGGAACTATAGATCACTATTATATTATTCTAATTTTATATTTTTATTATTAAATGTTTTATGGTAAATAGTATTGTCAAAATGGATCATTCAACCAAATTCAACCCAGTTCACTACGAGTTGTCTAATTAGTGAGTTAATTCAACTAAACTATTTATTAACAAACCAAAAAAAATCAGAATTCAATTCAGCTCACCATAGGTTGGTAGATTACACAAGTTGGCTCATTGGCTTACCTATTGACAAGGTTTTTTTTTTCATTTCTAAAAAAATACATATTTTTTCTAATTCAAATCTAAATAAGTTTCAATCCAAAATGAAGTTAAATTCTAAAGACAATTCAAAATAATAAATATATATATATATAAAATATAATCCAAATACAATCCAAAATCATCTCAAACTCTAAAAATAATCCAAAAGCAAACAATAAAAATAAAATTAGATAGGTTGGCGAGCTAACTCGACTCACCACAGGTTTAATCTGAGTGAGTCAAATTCTTAATAGATTGGACTCAAAATTGACCTGTATCAAAATTTCAAATTGTTTTTGAACCCAACTCGGTCTGAACCTATGATGGATCAGATTGATTTATGAATTCCAACCCATTTTGACAACACTAATGATAAATGTAGTTTTGAAAGTATTTATATTTAACATCAAAATGCATTAATAAAAAGAAATCTAATTTTAAACATTAAAAAATTAAATTTAAATTTAGAGAATAAAAAGAAATTTATATACTGTGAACTAAAAGCTTATTTAAATAATTAATCTATANATACAATCCAAAATCATCTCAAACTCTAAAAATAATCCAAAAGCAAACAATAAAAATAAAATTAGATAGGTTGGCGAGCTAACTCGACTCACCACAGGTTTAATCTGAGTGAGTCAAATTCTTAATAGATTGGACTCAAAATTGACCTGTATCAAAATTTCAAATTGTTTTTGAACCCAACTCGGTCTGAACCTATGATGGATCAGATTGATTTATGAATTCCAACCCATTTTGACAACACTAATGATAAATGTAGTTTTGAAAGTATTTATATTTAACATCAAAATGCATTAATAAAAAGAAATCTAATTTTAAACATTAAAAAATTAAATTTAAATTTAGAGAATAAAAAGAAATTTATATACTGTGAACTAAAAGCTTATTTAAATAATTAATCTATAAGACAGAGAGTTGTAGGTATCTACAGATCAAGAGGATGAGGATGTAACTTGACAATAAAGAAGGTTGAAGAGATAACAAAGATGATTGATGCATGATAGAGAAAGACAATTTCATCGTTAAACTCGAAAGCTCAAGACAATGCCATCCACCAACTCATACCTCTCCCTTCTCACGCATGTCCATGCCTCAAAGACAAAAAAGTTCACAGTTCTGAAGTGACACAAACCAGAAAGTTATCCAACTCTTACTGCCATTGTCTCCCAACTCCTTCTTCCACCTTTCATCATCAACCTTCTCTCTACAAACAAAATTATTGGATAATTTCTACATCTCTTCTATACTTCCAAGTCACGTGATATCATCCAGTGAAACAGACACCGAAACAATAGTGAGACAGATTTTGTATTGCTCATATGTTGTGTTTTTTTTTTTGGGTGAGAAAGAATCCGAAATGAGCACCAAAGAAGTAACAGATAACAGTGGGAACAGTCTAACTCACCTCAAACCATAGTCTAAGTGGCCAACAGCTGAACCTGAATTATGGTGGGGATTAAAATATGCACACAAAGAACAAGTGGCAGATGAATGAATATTAAATTGGAGGAATTAAAGGACCATTAACAATCTCCAGACAAATGGCCGCAATGAGTCATGAACTCTATGCTACAAACTAGATTATTAGCTAAAGCGTGCATTATAACTCAAACTCACAAAAACACAAATTGTAGTAACTATACTTTTCTCCCAACCCCAAAAAATGATGATGATTGGATATTCAATAACAGAAGCATTAGGGAAAAAACTTTACGAAAAAAAGCCCTTTTGAGGCATAAAAGAGGAAAAAAATACCCTAATTGACAAGGACAATGTAGGCCACAAAAGGGACCCAAAAGAGCAACATACTTTAAACTAAACCAAGTGAGAATGTCCTTTGGACACGGCAGAAGGAGCTGACGCTCCCAGGTGGTGCCTATAAAGGTTCCAATCTTGAGCTCTCCTTAGACAAAATTAGTACAAACTCTTGTATGTAGAAATCATTCACATCGTAAAACCTTGGAGACAATGACAGGGTTTGGCTCATCGTGTGGAGCATGCAAGTTCCTAAGGAGAAAATGCACCAGTGATTGTGTATTTGCTCCTTACTTCTCCTACGACCAAGCTTCATCCCATTTTGCAGCAGTGCATAAGATTTATGGAGCCAGTAACGTCTCCAAGCTACTGTCACATCTTCCAATCCAGAATAGAAGAGAAGCTGCCATCACCATATCTTACGAAGCCTTGGCTCGCATGCATGATCCTATTTATGGCTGTGTTGCTCATATCTATGCATTGCAGCAACAGGTGCTGTGACTCCACGACATGCTTTATCACACCATCATTTAGGAACCCGAATTCCCTACAGTTGGATTTTCACTCATTCAGCAATCTGAAGCCTTCGGATGAGATTAGATGGCTCGTATTTTATCTGGGAAAACTACACTTAAATCACGTATTGAGCTCTGAACCGTCTAATCTTCATTCGAAGGTTTCAAATGCAACGACTGCATAAATGTGTGGAAAAGTAACTGCTCTGAATCAGTTCAATAACTTACATATAGTTTAATGGTTATGTCCTAATAGTTTTACACTTTCAACTATTAAAATCACTATCATATGTTTCTTAACATAGTTATTTTACAAGTCAATAAGTTTATTATATACCTTAATTAGGATTAAACTAGTATGTTTCTTAACATAGTTGTTATATAAGTCTTGTGTTTTGTATAAAAACTCGAACTTGTGCAGGTTGTGAACTTGCAAGAGGAGATAGATGCTCTTGGAAGCATGGTGGCAAACTCCACAGTTAGTGTTGTCAATTGTGGCACTGTCCAAGCACCAATGTACTCAGACAACGGAATACCTTATGATACTTTGCAGCATGATGCTACGAGGACACAGTATTTTCAAAACAATCTAGCAAACTTTCTTTCAGAAGATGGAAATGCCAGAGCCTTGCAAAGTTTGGAGTCACAGATGAATATAGAGCTTCCTAATGCACACGTGGAAGAACCTTCCTTTGGTGATTCCAACTCCAATCCGTTAGAACAGTTCCTATCTGGAATTGACCAAGAGGTGTTCGTGAATCATCCATGGTTCAAGCATAATGCAGACATAAAGGGCTAGGAATGTTGAAAAAGCTGCGACTAGACTTTTGTCCACGTGCTTGGCGCAATATGATTGCATGAAAAACAACTTTTGTGTGATGTATATTTTACATATATAATAGGTAATAATGTCAGATTAATGCTACTCTCTCAATCATTTGGATTAAAAAAAATCAGAGTTGTGTAAAATTTTGTAGCAAATATGATGATGGGAGAATCATTGCTCTAATTGCTGGTATCTGCTTAAGATTATTGCTAAAGAAAATATCTTCTTTTTTTCCCAAAAGCTGTCTCTGGAAACTTAAAAGTAAGCTATTATTTTAAACCGGACAGACATGACTGCAAACAACTAACTATACATATATCATAATAATAACTAAACTGAGGCATACAACTATTGCTATTAACTTTAAACTAGAAAATTCAAAAAGATAAATAAAATAACACCAATGAAAAAGTCTAAGCAATATTGTTGAGTCATTATTAGTTCTAATAAAAACTAATTAATAATTTATTTGTGCCAAAGGATTTTTAATTATTTTATTATTTTACCATTAGTTAAAATATCCACATATCCTTGAAATGAAAAAAAAAATAATAATTATGAATTCCCATTACCATGATTCCTAGGATAATTACCAACATGTGGTTAGTTTACCATAAATATTTTTAAGAATTTACCCAAATTTTCCATGAACCAAAGACTTTATAATGTTTATCATATTAAATTATTTATCAAAAATAGCATAGTATTTTATCACAGTAAAACATTTTCTTAACTGGGATCACAGTGAAGCATAGTTTTGTGAGAAACATATTTAAATACTGAAAATATTTTTTTTTTCAAGATGTTAAACTACAAAAACATGGTATTTTTATTGTAGTAGACTAAACGTGCAAATAAACAATCAAATTTCAAATTTTCAAAAAAAGAAATCAAACTTTATGTAATAAAGAATTACTAAGTTTAAATCTCTACTCATGCCACATTTAATACTTATCATTAATAAGTTATGGCGGCTAACAAAGCGATAATATCCAAACTTTCTGTGTCAAACTGCTAAAAAAATGGCCAATCTAAATCTGTCGGGAAATTATGACATGAAATTTTGTAACGGTTTTATATTATTAAGAAAAGAAAAGTTTTTTTTTTTTATATAGTGGTGATACATCACCAATAGTGTAAGTGATAGAAGCAAAATTATACAAATATATTATAACGACTAAAACATAAAATAAAAATAATAACTATTTGACCATAAAAATAGTTTAAACTTATGATTTGATCCACTAGAGTCTAAATTTTCTATTCACTCTTTCTCACGTGAATAAGCCACTTTAGTAGCCAAGTTGCTATCAGCTTCTATAGTGTTACTTTAATTTTCTCCGTAATACATTGATCAATGACTTTTAATTACTATATCATATATTCTCATTCGCTAAGCACTTTCATAACCACGTCACTTATCAAACACCAAAAGAATTAATATCAACAAAGAGAACGTGAAAAACAAAGTGTATGCACCTTTATGTGTTTACATCCATCAACTTGTTTGATTATAATAATGAAAAAAAAAATACTCGTAATGATACAACAAAATCTACTACTTTACTTTGAAGGACATATAATAGCTTGAATTTTGCATGCAATAAAAGGTTATAAAAAAGAGTGGAGGAGTAAAGAAAGAAAAAAGAGAGTGAGAAATGAAAGAAAATAGAAATTATGAAGTGGGAAAAAAGGAGTCAAAAGCATAAGAAAAGAAAAAAATAAAGTAAAATAGAAACATTTATTAATATTATTATTTTTTTCACTATTTTTTTTTATTATAAAAAACTACCAGTATTATTTGTTATTAATACTATTATTTATTTCATTATTAACATGAATTTTTATTGTTTTTTAAGAATAAATAAAATAAAAGTTAATTTTTAAGATTATTTTAAAAAATGTTTAGTTTTATAAATATTAATATTTTATTCTTAAATTTTGTTTAATTTTATTACTAAAAATATTGTTCTATTATAATTATCATAATAAAAGAATAAAAAGGCTTATAAAAATATAATAACAGAAGAAGTCAACATTGAGAAGTCTTCACGGTGATAGAAAAAATTGATAATAGGTTTTGTGATGGAACAAGTTTATACACAAAATTTCTCTTCTCTGCATGGGAATTCTATTAAGTTGTTCCACTGTTTTTTTTTGTACTTTTCTTTAGATTTCTTCTTTCAACTAACTAACTTTTTTTCCCACTATATATAGTTCTATTACGAAAATGTAAGTGTAAGAAAATGTAGTACTGAGTAAAGTTGTTATTTCAAACATAAGATAATATAAAACTTTAGAAGTGTATGCATACCAAAAAAAAAACACATTACATCAATATCATCATAATTGTTTTTTCTCTTTGTTTCTCCATATGATGAAACATAGATATGTCAAAATGGGTCACAATTCGCGGTTCAATCTGGTCCATCACGAGTTCGGACCGAGTTGGATTTAAAAAAATTATATTTTTTTATCCAGGTCATATTTTAATCCGGTTCATACGGGTTGAACTTGTAGTGGACCGGGTTGGCCCACCAACCCACCTACCTAATTTTATTTTATTAAATTTTAATTTTAATTTTATAAAAAAATATTTATTATTTTTTTGCTTAAAAAAATTATTTAAGTTCCTTATTTTCAAAATTAATTAAACACTCATGTTGGAAGTGAAATTTGAGAATGAAATTTGTTTAAATTCGAATTATAGAAAGTTTGTAATTTTTTTATTTAAAAAAAACTATAATTAAGTGAGCTAGTGAGCCAACCCGTTTACTTGTCAACCCATTGTGGATCGGGCCGGGTTCGAATTTTTCTACCTAATAAGAGTGTTACTCCCTCCGCCACCATACATTGTTCCATGCACCTCCACATTCCTCTTTTGTCCTTGAGTAACGACGAATATCGACATCCGTTGAAAGACAAACGAATGTCGATATACGTCCACGGATGTTGACATCCGTTTAAGAACTGAGAATCCATGCATGTTGACATCCGTCCGTCCAACGGGAAGGGCACTGTTAGAAAGAACAAGAGAAGAAAACAGGTTAATAAGTAACAAAAGAAAGAAATAAGGAATAGGGTTGGAGAGAATGAATTAAAGAAGTGAAGAAAGGTGTATGTTTGTAAGGTTAGAGAAAAGGAAGAAATAGGAAGGAGAAGGTAGCAGAGAGTATCAGGTTATGGTGATATGATTAGTAGGTGTTTTGGAGAAGGTCTCGGCAGTGGATGTTCGTGTGGCTGTCGAAAACTTGAGTGGAGTGGAACTCCCTTCTGCGGTATGTGCAGCGGTGGATGTTTATGTGGCTGTCGAGAGCTTGGGGGAGCGGACTCCCTTTTGGGGAATGTACAAATGTAGGAGCGTGGGGGTAGAAATCTGAAAAGAGAGAAGGAGAGTTGGGAGGCGGGGCTGAGTGAAAAGTAAAAATGGGTAGGGTTTGAGTTTAAAGGAAATAGATAGGGTTAAAAGTAAAAAAAAGGTTATTTTTGTAATTAAAATGTTTTTGTAGAAAGTTGAGGAGGTGGAGGGAGAAGGAATGGTGGTGGAGGGAGCAACACCCCGCTAATAAATGAGTCGGGTTGAGTTGACTCACTAAGTGACCAACCCGTAATGAAACGGACAGAGTCGAGTCGGGTGGCCCGTTTTGACAACTTTAGTCAAACAAAAGAAAAGATAGTATAAATTTCGTATTGTTTTTTTCTCTCCACCTAACCTTATCTTTGATTCAATTTGATTTCAAACCTTTTGGTCGGTGTGTTTTGGAAAAAGGAAATGATAAAAAAAAAGTCTTTCAAACTATAATCATTCTTTGATCTGTTCTCAACCACCCATAAATCCCAGTCAACAATTTGGCTCTAAATTTAATATCAACACAATCTTCATATAAACCCAAACGTGCGTCTTTAAAACGTTGTATATGCCAAACCAAATTTACTGACTTAGTTTATATTTTAGTTTGATTTGATGTCGAAACCTCGTATCTAAACTTTATTATTAGATGAGAAAAATAAAAACTGCTTTAAATAATTCTAATTTAGATATGAATTATAAATGTATGTTAAACTCATGTGAAGTAAATCGAAAATGTATTTGGCAAAATTGAGAAAATAAAAATAACATAGGATAAATATCATTAAACACAATGGTTAGAAATTAAGAATTTAGTGACATCACTGCACCTGTCATATATATATATATATATATATATATATATACTCTCTC